AAAAAAATACCTCCGAGCTGCTTGACATGGTGCAAATGAGAAGGGCAAAATCGTCCAAGGGGGGCGGTGACTAGTAATAAGGGGGGCGGTAAATAGTAACTCCCTAGAAAAAAGAATCAAAATCACGCTATCGTTGGGAATAAATTAGTATTCGATCATGTACACATGCACATAAAAAAAAAAACAAAAATTTATATATTATATGTACGTATTTGCTATTTAAAACTTTAAATTAAATAAAGTGTGTTTTACATTTGTAAAATTTTGACTATATATAAATATATAATATAAACATAAATTATTTTAACTTCCATATAAATCAATTTTTTTTTTTGTTATTGTATAACTATAATACAAAATAGGAATATTATGGATAAAATAATATAACATTGTATATTAAAAAAATTTAAAATCATATAAAGCTGTTACAGAATAATAAATTTGATAATAATAAGATTTTACTTGTGTAACTGTCATTTGAATTCTGGTCATAAAAATTCTTATCGAACGATGTCTTATTTTTATTAACTGAATAAAATTAATTGAAGCTTTCCAATATATATACAGATATAGATGGTTTGAAATGAATGAGACACTTGTCTCATTTCTATTTGCCAAAATAAATTTTATGATAAGATATTGGTAATAATTTATATCAAAAATAAATAAAAAATACCAATCGTATTTTTCTCTATAAATAGGGACCATACTTGATATGTTTTGGAACACAATTACAATTTCTCTTCTTTTTTTTAACTATTTTCTTAAATATATCTTATTAGTTTTATCATCTATTTTATTTTTCCCAATTTTCAAAAAATACCATATGCATCCAAATTTTGAATATTAACTTGTATGGACCGATTTGACTTTCAATAGTTTTCTCCTTTTTGGAATCAACTTTCATATTAGAATCCTCTTTCTTTTGTTTTTGCAAGATTTCAAAAGACTTCTTCACATTAACCTTAATGTCTTCCCTTTTTTCAATTGTCTTTACCCTGTTTTAATTACCATGCTTTTTGATGTTCGGATTCTATCCATTCTAGAGTGGCAAATAAAGCTTTTTTTTTTTTTTTTTTTCCTTTGAGCTATCCCGCCCCCAATTGAGGCAGGTTTAACTTCAACTAGTTCAACTAAGAGCAAGACAGAGCAATTTTGAATTTTGTGCAAGTTTTGGTGTTCTGAAACATGAATAGCCGAATAGGTACAATACTCGTTAGGAACACCTCCTCATTTAAGCTAATTCCCTTAATCTCACTTTCTTTCTCAGAGTGCTCTCATGTAACTTCTCCATCTACCCTTCCCCTAAATTCAGATGTATTGTTTTTGGCAACGTCCTCCCTATTTGGTAGATCAAGATTAGAGATTAATTGACTCTTGCTCTCTATAATGGGTTTCAAACATGCTAGAGTTAGAGATATTATATTCAACTAAGACGAATTGGCTTTTAACAATTCTCCAAATTGGCCAAGGTTTAGATTTATTTTTTTTTTCTATCAATGTAATCTTTTTTAATTAAGCAGTTCCTATCAGAATGCCTAATTTTACCACAGTAAACGTACAAGTTTTGGAGATTCTCATACCTGAAGTGCACCCATATATTTTCTGACCCAAATTTACTCATTCAACGTAGGAGAGGGTCCTTCAACTTAATCTCCACCAGGATGTTTACTATCTGACCCGAGGAGCTTCCATTTCCAGGATCTTGGATATCCAAAACTTTGCCTATTAATTTACCTATCTTTAGCCCAATTTATACTGCAAGCCAATGTAGAGGCAGGTTGTGTATTCAGATATAAATCTTGATCCTTTACTCCTCAGTTAAGAAATCTATTGACTTGGGTTCCAGGCTTTTTAACAAGATATATTGACCATTGAAGGTCCAAGTCTTACCATTCAAAATCTTCTCTCGATCTTCCTCGTCTTTGAAAAGGAATTGGAACTAATTTAACCATAGGTTTCTAAGAAAGTTTTTCTAGTAACCCAGATATTAGCTAGGGTTTGCTTTGAGGTCACTGAAATTCGCTCTTTTATCCCCAAAAATTTCTCCTATCAAACTCAGTTGACACTTTTT